ACAGCATCCGCTCTTCCAATCATCAAACCTTGTGTAGCTATTTTTAATGAGGTTTTCCTGTTTTTATCGCACTTGACGACTGAAACCCGTTCGAATGGGAAATTTGATAATAAAATGATCTCGATCTATAACTTTTAATTTTATTATACATACTGAAGCTTCGTCATTACATCATTAGCAATAATTGACGGATTGTAATGTAAGATTTCCTCTAAACACATTTTTCTGAAATATACTTCTATGCACAGCTGATTAATTAAGTATCTAGCATCTTCGTATACATCAGCGATAGGCGCGGTCTCCTTATTACTTCTTTTCAAGTCAACCATTTTATTGATAAATATCCGGTAAAAGGTAGCGAAGTTATAGGACCCTAGTTGTTGTAGTCTTGAGTTTATTGCATATTTCATGTTGAACAACTCCTCAATCTCGTTTCTATGCATGCAGCATGATTGATTAAATTGTCGAATATCGATGGTGGTTATAATTTTATCCGAATCATCGGTAAATTTCCAGTTATAAAGTAAGCCTAAAGTGTCACTTAATGGTTCATAGTAATCTTCATAGTTGACGTCTTCATAGATGAGGTCTTCAGCAGACCAACATTTTTCTGTTTTCTTTGATCGATATAGCTGTATTTCGGTATAGGGCTGCCATTTTAAAAGATTGTTCCAATCTTCAACAGTCAATATGACGCCGCAACCCTCGCTCTTGCAAGAGAGGCGTAAAACAGGTTCCTGATGAAAACAAGTGCTATAACCTATTTCAATATCCTTACTATCACTGAGAACGTATCGTACAGCACCAATTAACGTTTCCTTTGTCGCTTGATAATATATTTCAGCTAATTCCTCTTCTAAATACCCGTATGATGTTGATGATGGCGATGTCGCAACATCAGACGATGATGTACAGGACCAGCAGTTACACATGTTATCGCCTTCACTCTTGTAGTTAGACTAAATTATAGGGAAAACTTATAGATGGTATGAATCAATAGCGTAGTGGAGACGGAAATAGCATGATGCGATTTAAGAACCTTAGCCTCCTTACCAGCAGGTTTGTCCTTTAGGAATCAATCATCTTGCTAACTAATACAATGGCCTATCCTACCAGGTCCAACGGGTTTGCCAATTAGTCCAGGTGGTTTGTCATCAGCTTGTCAACAGGTTCAACGGGTTTGTTTGTTTGTTCATATCGGTACCAAACCGGTTCAAAGCAGTTCGAAAGCGGTTCAGAAGCGGTTCAAAGCTGTTCGAAAGCGGTTCAGAAGCGGTTCAAAGCAGTTCGAAAGCGGTTCAGAAGCTGTTCGAAAGCGGTTCAGAAGCGGTTCAAATCAGTTCGAAAGCGGTTCATAAGCGGTCCAAAGGCGGTTCATAGCGGTCCAATATCGGTTCACAGCTGTCCAAAACCGGTTCAGAGGTGGTCGAAAGGCAGTTCATAGCGGTCCAATATCGGTTCACAGCAGTTCTAAAGCGGTCCAACGGCTTTTTCAACTGATCCAAGGGTTCTACCTATCTGATCTAACGGCTTTGCCAACTGTTCCAGCGGGGTTTGCTAACTGACCTAAAGGAGGTGTGATCCTTGTAATTCCCATAGCTCGCTTTTCCGTAAAGACATAAAGGGGTTCAGAACAGAGGACAGAAGCCATTTGGTGTTGTGTTGTCGAGAAGAGCAGCCCTTCAACGATGTCTAAAGCGTGTAATTGGGGAAGACCTTGTAACTGTAGCGACTGTCGACCTGAGCTAAAGGAAAAATGTGAAATTTGCTGCGAAAGAGAAGGATACCGCGTTGGAAGTACTTTAAGAAAAGACAGAAAGGGGATAAAGTACTATGACTTTGAAACTTGTTGTCAACAATGCTATCAGGAAAATTATGGCGAGAGAGAAGAACGAATCTTTAACATGATGCTGCAAATTCTCGAGGATTCGATTAAAAATCCTCCCAAAAAGCCTCAACCTGTCCCTGTCTACGTTACCGAGCGAAAAGAAATTAAAGAGGTGTTGTGCAGATTATTCAGAAAAGAACTGTATATGTGTGAAGATGATAGATGTCGACGCAGAATACCGCAAATTCTTGATAAACTTAAAGTGAAGATTGTTTGGGAAAACAAGAACGGCGGGAAATTTGAATATGAAAGTGACGAAATTGGATACGATCATACGACTGGCTGGTTTGAACAGTATATTTTACCTGAGATAATAAAGAAAATATCGGGACCTATTTGGGTTAAAACATTGCAAATTTCCCCTACATATAGATTACCTAAGGTCGTATATGTAACAAAGGGCTAAGTTCTCCGTAGATAATGGTATAGAAAACATTTATAGTGAGGCTGATAATTTTTGCAAGAGACTACACTTCAAATTAATCTACGAAACTGTTAAAGTCGCTAAAGGTTGGTAATCCTATATACCTTGAAGATCTATTAGGAGAACCTATAATGGGTCACTTCGATGCTGAAGAAATGTAGAAAACAGCTCATCCGAGAAAGTTTTAAGGCGTAAAGGAGACAGTTAGTCGTTTACTGTAGCAATACTGATATCAATTAAGTAGCTCCGTACATTAGAAGAATATGTAAACGAATTGAAGAAATGGTAATATCGAGATATCAGCGATGAAGAGGAAAGTGTGGAACGGAATAAAAGAAAGAGTAATGTGAAGAAGAAAATCAGAAGGAAGAAAAAAGAGCTGTACAATAGCAAGTTTTGCTTAAAAAGCTCGTTCTCAGACTCGTTTGTATGGTTTGACACAATGAAACAAAAAAATAAAATTTACATCTTGCGAGCTTGGTCCTATGCTTACAGAGAAGCAAGAAAGGGTCCGTGGGAAACTGTCGCATTAGATAGGTACCGCTTCAAATGTAAAATAGAACGCATTGCAGCTGTTTTAGAGCCCATATTATGTAATCGTATTAAGATGTATCAATTGCAATAAATTATATGAGTATTATAAATAAGTATAATAAACGTTAGATAAAGCGCAACAACAAAGTGAGCGTATATGATAGTAGCAACATGCTTCTAATTTACGTAAAGCTGGTTCTTCTTCCACCTCGGTGACATTTTGCGATAGAGTTTTTTTCGAATGAAATCGGCTTTTTCTTTTCCTTTAACGTATACTTGGTCTGATGATGATATTAACTGGCGAAGTATAATTGGAAACATGTAGGATGGCGTATGACCATGCTCCCATTTAATTCCGCGATGGTTATGGATTAGCCAGGTAGCTTGACGTTGTAAGCCATCTGCTTTCCATTATAAATATTGCAAGCTCTTTCGGTAAATTCGTTTCTTGTTTTAAAGACTTGTACATCGATTTCCCTTGACATTATGTCGTCGAAGGAAGACTGAATATTGATTTCCAAAATAACAACATGCATACTTGTCTGGCGAGCGCTTTTACGCAAATACCTACTATTCAAATATTTATTCAGTATAAAGCGGTCACATCATCCAATGCAATTTTATAGATAACGCGCTTCTTCGGTTCTATTGTTATCAATATGACACCTTTGACTTAAACGCCTACAAGTTCTAACGGTTTCCTGTTAGTCTTGCACCTATATATCCTCAAGTCTAACTATCATGTCCCGCAAAATTTCTAGAAAGAATTTATGCTTTTCCTATTAAAACAATGCAACTATATAGGTGTCCTTGAGTCGTAATCTTAAGCTACGCTTTACGAAATTATCAATGGCGGCAGCTCGTGAGTAAATAGAATATATAGGTATCGTTAAACTTTAGTTATAGCAAATTTTAAAATCTACTCATCTCCAGGGCATAACGATAGTCGATGTAGTGAAACAGCCGGCTTTTGAATAGGTCGAGGTAATACTCAAAAGGTATATGGAATTGGTCAATGAAACGAAAAGTATTCAAGTTTATCGTATCACCTTCAAAGTAGACCTCCTTCTAAAATAATACACTACCTACGAGCATACTAATTTTTGAAGGTCTTCAGACTTCGGGAACCCCCCGCAACGTAGGTACGCATTTTCAAAACTAATAGGGTGCTTTGATCGATAATAATACAAATCTATCACCGGCCTGTACCAAATGTTTTACCCATATAATATCACGTTCTATAGAGGTATGGAGATATTGAATATAATGAGTGAAGGACTTAAATTTTTATTGTATGTTTATCTGCATACCCCTTTGTATCGAACTTCCTATGACATCGTTTGTCATAGCTGTGCAATCTGTACAGGTTTCCTGTCTAAATGGATAGCAATAAATAAAACTCCGAAAGAGAAATAGCCGCAAAGATAAACTTTACCCCTGAAATTAGCCAACTCATCTGTCTACTGATTCCTACTGTTATTTAGACTGGCAATATACTGATCAAAAATATTATGACCTGGCAACACTGCGTTTGATAGTCATTTGTTACGAGGATGGCGGGTAAGGATGACCTCTTTTCTATTTTTCATCAAACTTAATGTATGTAATTTTTCAGCTCAAGGTGCGGCCATCATCTTTGGCCCATTGCAGACGGCCTATGGTAAATACGCCACATATCTATCACACGTTTAACCATATATTTGTAGAACGAGAACTACGAGCATTAATTCAACAGAAATATGCATCTGTAAAAGTACTTTTCATGCATCATACCGTATTTTAATTAGCTCTTATTTAGGAAAATGTTGCTATTTTACGGGGTCGGGGGGTAATCCCCGACTCCGTAAAGATAGAAGGAGTATATCAACACATCAGGAGGTTCCAGGTCTATAAAGACCTGGAACTACAAAACACGTACTGGGTGTTTTATGTAAGTGTTATCGTTTCAATTATAATGTTTACTTCAATGAATTTTTTTCCAGAACTAATAAACCCGCATTAAATTTTGTTTTGTTTTACTTATCCACTCCATTCTGACTAAGCCCTTACCTAAAATAATAAGATGTAGTGATTAGGGTGTTATCATTTCTTCCGTAAAACAAGTGTTCAGACACCTCCTCCCACCCAGCACGCGAAGGTAGAGCGCCTACTTAGAAATATGTACTATGGTAAACAAGATTATAGGTTAGAAAGGGGCCCTCTTACCACTTGTTGACAGTGAATACGGCAGGCCTTCATCTCTATCCTGGTTTGGAATTTAGAAGCTTGGCTTATCGCAGCATTCATACGTCTAAGTGTATTATGTTCAATAGGTGATCATGTCCAGTATTATGACACTGACTCTATAATCTATATATCAGCGGAAGGACAACCCAATCCGCTAACAGGTAAATATTTAGGCAACTTAACGGCTGAATTAGAAGCTGAAGGTTCTGAGAGTTGGATTGAAGAAGAATTCGTGTCAGGTGGTTCAAAGGATTTCCCTATACGCCAACTACGCCCTGGCGGCACCGAGTACACTTGACGCGACAACAGCTGTATGTCGCGTGTCGGCTATGGGCTACTTCAGCTACTTGAGATGTACCGAGAATTGATTATACGTCATGCTCTTTTTCGTGGTTCGAGATGCACAAGCAGTACTATTAAAAAGGTAGGCCTATTAGTTATTTTTTTTATACACCCTGTGTAGAGAAATATCTAATGGGAATCCTATAACGAGGCCGTAAACATCTCCAATAAATTGCATTATTTCTAGTGTGAATTTATTGCCTCCTGGGTGGTCATGGAAAGAGGTGTATCTAACCAATAATAATTTAACCAAAGCTATACAAGGTAGATCGACAATTCGGTAACTTGTTCCTCTTCTAGAATATACGCAGCTAAATGTCCATTTTACTATTTAACAATTACGTAATTATGCTATAATTGGGGATTTAATTTACAATTCAGGGTGATTAGACATAGGTACAATTTTCAGCAGGTCTATATTCAGCTTCAGCATTACATATTACAATCACCCTAAGTTTATGGGTACGGTATTGATTTGATTGAATGATTCATTAAAAATTAAAAGTGCCACTTATTTAGAATACTTAGGTTATACTTACATTATAGATTTTACATACCTAAGTGTCATTAATTGCGAGTGAAGCGATCGAAAAAAATTTTCGTCCTATTTGGTAAGCTTGAAATAGGCGGTAAATTGCATCTGGCGTAGAGCGCAAATGTGTAAATCCGCCGCTAGATTATACTTATAGATATTAAATTAAGAAGCTCACCTTATAATCAATATTATCGTTATATAAATGTAGATCCGAGAAAAATTGATTTAACTGAATACCAAACAAATTGATGTAATACATAATTCACAATGTTATCGCATTTATTTATCACAACTGTATTATTCTCTACTCCTGATCAATAAATGTGAAGTATAGATATTAATAATAATAATAAATCCGCACGCCGTTTAACCATGATGATGATGAAGTCAATCCTCCATTGGGGTTTGATATCGGCTAAAAAAGATATCAATGTAGGCTTTTTATTACAAAATAATTTTGATACTTACGGTCCAACTCTGATGTAGACTATGTTTTCTGCTGTCAGCTTATTACTTATAAACGCCCATATAAAATAATCGCTGAATAAATACAATAAAATGTCACGCTTTCATTAAACTGCAAATTATGCGCGCAAGGACACGTCTCCCTAAGAAAAGTAAATTATAAGCAACTAAAAATTGAAAAAAGGCTTACCTGAGGTATATAAGAAGGCGCCTGTCTAAGTAGGTGTATACCCACATGCACTTTTTGAAATCGGATTGCGGATGCACGCCGTTTTTATGGGAGATTTTCGAACTTTACGCATTCATACACAATAAAACCCGTATATAGGTGTCGATGTGGAAATGAAATGAGATAAAGTACCATATCAAATTCGCGAGCACGCGCTGCTATAAATAAACACTATCGCAAGATTGAAACTTTCCATACCAATTATTAGAATAATGACATCTGCGAACTCTGTTCTCTTATTGCTTTCGCAACTTAATATAAATTATTTTATATCGAGAAATGTGCAATCATTTTTGCGAGGAGTCGAGGTAAACTATACGTTTTAACCGTATATTTGTAGAACAAGAAACTACTATTATTTTCGGTGGGATAAACCCAGCGAGGTATAAAACCACCATGTATTACGTTTTAATTATATATACCTATGTGTAGAACGGAGCGGGGGATTTCCAATTATGAATAACAATGCTGTCATTAAAATGGGCGTTGCTGACGTCGAGGGCCGAGGCTCTCTTCGCCACAAATTTTATGTAAGTAGAGTAAGCGCTTTAATTGTAATAATAAACTTCAAATCACTATTTCCGCTGTAAATAAAAACACCCTACATTTTGTTTGTTGTTTTTTCCCTGCCCACTCCTGTTCTGGTTATAGGGAACCTACCTCCGAGATGGAATTATAGGTTAGAATGAGGGTCCTCGCACCTGTCTCCTGAAATTACAATTTCCTACCCTATACCTATATGTCGCATCAATCTAATAGAGGGAGCCGGTTGAAAATATACCTCTATATGCATTACAACGCCAATAGATGGCGCCTCCGTACCATTAAAATAGGTTCGTTATAAATACAACTATCCAAGCATTATACCATAATAGTCTAATTAGCTCAGTGGTTATGCTATAGGACTTGTAATCCAATGGTTGACGGTTCGAATCCGTTCCATTTAAAAAAAATTTTCAGGGTACGAAGGGGTCGAAGTTTGAGGATTCCAAGATGGCGTCCAAGAACTTGAGGATTCCAAGATGGCGTCCAAGAACTTGAGGATTCCAAGAACTTGAGGATTCCAAGATGGCGTCCAAATGACGCCTGCGCAAAGGGGCGGGGCGCGCATGCGCACATCCAAACTGCTCCAAAAACACCCAAATGAACCTTAGAATTTCCCATAAGAAATAACATAGGATTTCGACCAAAAGTGGGCTCGAACTCTCCTAGCCTATCTACTTACAAAAGTTAAGGGATCTTTCAACCGTAAACTATAATAATGCTTTGTAATGAAGGAAATTAATCGTTACATTCCTTATACTTCAAGAACAAAATTGTCGGAGGAGGGTACTCACAAAGGGCGATTGGGAAGTTAAGGGAAATTAAAGGTTTAAATCTTTATGAAAAATAACTGCAACTTGATTCTTACTAAGTTAAATAAGACATTTTCTTAAAAATCCTTAAAGAGCTCAAGCTATAGGTAATTAAAACCGAGTAGTCTTGCATGTATTTTTTACCGTTTATGAATTAAACTTTCCCGAATCAACGCGGTAAGAAGAACCCTTGCCTAGTTTTGAACGGAGAAGTTTTTATACGCTCAATATCTCGTTGCGGATCAGTCAACGCGAGCATATTACGGGCAACAGACTACATCGTTTTTGGGAAAGAACATTTTTGAATTAATTACAATTACGTTTTAGGACCAAAATTTCAACAGTAAATAAAGTTGCCTGGTCAGTGAAACCGATAACCAAACCCCCAACGTTTCATTATCTTCCAAATTTTACCAGGAGTCTACAGTTTTAAGGAGAGTTTAAGATAATAAAATAATTTTTACAGTAAAAAAGAGTTTTATGGTTTAGCAATCAGAAAGGACTATCAAACGTTATAACGGCATTGAAATTTGGTAAAAAGAGTTAGATTCGGTAAGTTTCAATCAAGCTAATCTTAGGGAGAAGGTTTGTAAAGGAGTAGAGCTGGATTGAGGTTGAATTTAGCAATGTATTTTCCTGAATATCACGGTGGATTTCAAAGATTGGACGAAAAAGGGAAATGAGCCGTTTCCTTTCAATAATATTAATTTCATGCTAGCCAGGAATTATTTCAAAAATTTTATTTATAAAATTCAGATAAGAAAGTGAAAATTAGGTGAGTCAAAACGAACTAAGAGACTCTGAATGGTCGCTAAGTGAGTACGATTTTTTAAAAACTATAAGTTATATATAACGTAACGTAGAATTAAGCCTTTATATGGGCATTCGTTGAAAAGAATACCAGAACATTAATAATGAGCGTGTCTGTTAAGAAGCAGCGTGCCATTTTCGGTAAACTTATTCATACCACACCGTAAAACCTTTTGTCGATAGTATCGCCTTCGCCCAAGCAGAATCATCCCTTTCGTTGTTTAACCAGCCGGTAATTATAATCTTTAAACAGAAATTGAATATTATTCACTCGGGATCATTCGTTGTTTTCTCTGACAAACAATGGAATAATTCACAGGTTGCCACTCCAGAAGAATTGTAATGGATTCCTTTGACCCAAGGAAACTGCCGCAGGGTTTCCTAAAATGACAAAAAATTACGTTCGTGGCAAAGCTTCCCAAATAGAAGTATGATAACTTAAATTGCTCTTCGCTTCGTTATTGAAAAAATCTATGCCGACATTTTATAATGGGCAATTTTAAATCACTACGAAACATCAGTTGCAGTTAGGTACGAATTATATATTATATATTATATATATGTATAAAACACAATAACTTTGTAAACTGTCGAATAAATACGTAAAAAAACGATGTAGGCAGTGAAATTGATAGATTGCCTACATAAGGAAAAATTGCGTCTGTAAAGACGTTGCGAAATTTTTCCGACCAGAATTCCATAAAGAAGCCCATTTGTTCTATTTTAATTCCCTAACGTCGCCTTTGTGCTACGCCATGTGTGATGTGTTTGAATTATTAAGTGGCTTGACATCATCTTCGTTCAGTGGTGTCATTCATCATTCCTACAAGTGTGTAATGAAGGAAATACGAAGACGACGCGCGCACTGACTCTTATTAACCCAATCAAACGCTAGGTGGCTTGTACAATCGATTCAAAGTACACTGTCAACGTAAAACTTGCGCCCTCTGCAAAGACTCCGCAATACCACCCTAACAGAACCACTGAAACATTTCTACCGAAGAGGGAAGTATTGATCGGCTAAGAAGCGACATCTGTAGTACT